GGGAACTGTGGCCCTCCCTGGGCTTGACTTGGGGACTGGAGCCCTCCTTGGGCTGGACAGAAGAACTGGAGCTTTTTCTGTGCTAGACACGGGGACTGGAACCTTCTCTGGGCTAGACTCGGGGACAGGAGCCCTCACTGGGCTAGACTCGGGGCTTGACTGAGGAACGGCCGGCGGGCTGGAGAGTGCCGTGGCCGGCGGGCTTGACAGCGGACTGGTTCTGGCTTGGGCCCGGACACTCCCCAGACACCGGTAGATCCCTTCCCTCCAGCATAGTCCCTTGATGTCTGGGAGGTCAATGCGGCGATGGTCGTTGGCCCCGAGCCAGAACAGAGAATTGATGGTGGTGTCATCCAATGCCGTTGCCGCGGTGAACCCGCAGAATTCCCAGACGTACTCGAAGAAGGGGAGATCTCGGCGAGCTAAGGCAGAGAAACGAGCGGCGATTTCCATGATCTCGGGGGGAAACAAACAGGAAAACAATAGACTTTTCAAAACGAAAAACAAACACGGGGAGAAGTGGCACCACTTACTGTTTTGGTCCGGTATTCTGTCACGTTGCTACTGTGTTGGAGTGCGGAGCGAGGAACGAGGAGACCAGGAGTACATCAACACAGGAGATTTAAATGTCTTCTGGTCTCCTCGTTGTCATCCTGCCTGATTTGTGTGCCTGTTTATTTATTAAAGTCTGTTTGTTTTGAGTTCATCCTGCGTCTCCTCGCTGCCCGCTTCCTGTGAATCATGACAGAAATAATGTGTAATAGTAATCATGCATTTTATTTATAGGCACCTTTCTTGACACTCAAGGTCACCGTACATCATTAACAAGGCAATCACAATATTAAGTAAAAAAACAATAAAGACAATGAGATACAATACAATTTAAAAAACACAATTCAGTTGTGATCAGAGGGAGTCAGCTATTCTAAACAGATGGGTTTTGAGTTTGGATTTAAAATGTGGGAGAGAGTTGATGTTACGAAGGTCAGGAGGGAGTGGGGAGACTGTGGGGGAAGACTGAGATGGATGGAGGAGATTATGAATGGCTTTAAAGGGGTCATATGATGCTGCTAAAAAGAACATTATTTTGTGTATTTGGTGTAATGAAATGTTTATGCGGTTTAAAGTTTAAAAAACACATTATTTTCCACATACTGTACATTATTGTTTCTCCTCTATGCCCCGCCTTTTTGAAACGCGTCGATTTTTACAAAGCTCATCGGTCTGAAAAGCGAGGTGTGCTGTGATTGGCCAGCTATCCAGTGCGTTGTGATTGGCTGAATACCTCAAGTGTGTGTCGGAAATGTTATGCCCCTCACCAGACTGTGATGCCCTGTCCGGCCGGAGCGACGAGACAAAATCATTAAAACCCATTACAAACGAGGCATTTGTAGCATCCAGTGGGGACATAATTACGGATTATAATGACGCATCGCGCCGCGTAAACATAAAACCATGTCTGCATTTGTGATCAGAGAAATGACAAACAACAGATTCGACGAAGGAGCAGCAACCACATGTGACGACCCCGGACTTCGTCCACGGTGAAAGCCGATCCGGTGATCCACAGCACTAAGTTGATGTATTCCCTCAGCGACCAGCACGGATCAGCTCCAGGCATGACGAAGCGGATATCGTCCTCTTTTGGAAGACCAAACAAAGTAGTTTCGCTTTCACAACGAAGCACACAGTGTCTCCACGGCATGGCGGCGGCAACAACAATACTACAGCGAGAATAAAAGTTACGCCTTCTTTCTTTGCGTGAACATTTGGGCGGCGTTATGCAAATCTTCCCACATAGTGAGGTAGATATGTGGGGGCGTGTTAGAACGAGCCATTTTAGGTAGGCGTGGTTAACTCTTAACTTTTATAAAGAATATCTCTTTGGATTTGAGACTTTAGTCTTTGCAACTTTACAGATCTTCTTTATGCACCAAGAGCTTGTAACACTCCAAAGAGAAAGGAAAAATTTAAATCGCATCATATGACCCCTTTTAAGAGTGAGGAGAAGTATTTTGTAGTTAATATGGTAAATGATGGGGAGCCAATGGAGCTGTTGTAAAATGGGTGTGATGTGATGTGCAAGTGATAATACGGGCAGCTGAGTTTTGGACCAGTTGTAACTTATGGAGGGTTTTATACGGGAGGGCATTGCAGTAGTCTAAACGAGAGGTGACTAGGCTGTGAACGAGAATGGCAGTGGAGTGAGGCTTCAACCCTAATCAAAACACACCTGAACAAGCTAATCCAGGTCTGAAGGGTTACTAGGAAGCTACAGGCAGGTGAGTTTTAATTAGGGTTGGAGCTGAACTCTGCAGGTTCGCCACCCCTGACGTAGACGGTTGATGTTTCGAAGGTGGAAGTAAGCAGACCGAGTAACATTATTAACGTGGGAGGTGAAAGAGAGGGTGCTGTCGCAGATGACACCCAGACTCCTAACCTGAAGGGAGGTTTTTCCTGAAGGGAGGGGGAGATGAAAGAATTATCAGTGGGAATAGAGAAATCATGAAGTTTGTTTAATGTTGATCTTGTGCCTATAAGAAGTATATGCAAAACATTAAACACTCAATTTTCAGTTAAAGGCAGTTCATCATTGATTCAGTGACGTCATCGTCCAGCTCAGTTCAGTTCAAATCGTATCTGTGCAATCAAGTCGACGATATTGATGGAAATTAAGTGTAACTAGTAAAACTAGACATTATTAACAATTATAGTTCGTAGTAAGTTAAAGGCTGCACTCTAAGGAAGGTCCATAAAAATAGGGCACAGTGTACCGTGATAATATGAAGGAATTTTCTGTAGCCTATTTATTTTTCACCAGTATTTTAAATCACGCATTGTATTTTGATAGACAGACAGATTTTTGAGATAAGATCAGCAGTGTATGCAACTGATTAACAATTATAGGAACAAACTAACAACTAAGGTGTACCATAAATGAACAATTATTATTGAAAACAACTAGCAACTTGATTCACATGTGATGTGCGTACTGCTAGACACCTCTCTCCAATTCTCTTCCAGCTGATGTGCTGCTTGGCTGGCTAGCTGTTCAATACGCAATTCTTTTTGTGTGGTTGAGGAAAAATGCATGCCTTTTTATCACTCGAGTCACTTTTCAAAGGTTGCCAATTACATTTTTAAAATAGCTAAATTTGTTGCTAGGTGCTTTTGGAAAATAAAGTTGCCAGGGTAGTCTGAAAAGTTGGCAACAGTGAGTTTAACCCATGTTTAACTATGTTGTCTGGCCCCAGGTGGAGCCGCTGAGCTCGTCTGGAGTGGAGGAGTATCTGCGGAGTGCATGTGGACAGAAAGCAGCCGCAGCCGATTACACAGATCTCTTCACCTGAACACAACAGACACAAGAAGAGTGGAGAACCTGTGCCTTCACACCGGCATCAGCATTAATAACCACCGCCAGTCCGCTCATCTGCCATCGCATGATTCGGTTTATAGGCATCGTCACACTTCACAAGTATTGAATTTATCTGAAGTTTAAATCAAACCTTAGCCACAATTTTCCATCCCAAAGCATGAGACTGTTCCTTTGTGTAACAGAGCAGATGAAACTCAGAAAACATGAAGTGAAACTGAAAAGTCTATTTTTATAAGACAGAGTACCTAATTCATTTCAGAAACTGATATGACAAGCGGACTCTGCTTTTTATTCTATATTTAACTAGCCGGACATTTTAAAACAAACCAGCTGTCAAGGATGTGAAATCATTATTATATGTACAATGAAGCTAAAATTCTTTTTAATTACAACATATGTTTGAAACCATGTAGTTTTGTTCCTCTGACACTTTATAATAAAAGTGCTTGGCTGTGATATGAAATATAGTTGACTGACATTGTCCTTAAAAAAACATTCAGCACTTTTTAAATGAATGGAAGCCGTTATGAAGGAAAACCCCAACACCATATTGGATTTTTATAGGTTTTAACTGAGCTGGGTTCAATTTGTACTTTAAAATCCATTATTATCTAATACAGAGCGGTCACAATTTCATTTAAATTTAATTGCTTAAAAATACACAAGACAGAAACTGACATAAATGTGCATTTACAAACACTTAAAAGTGACTTGAGCTTTGGACTCTCACAAAAGTGTGCAAATTTAAGCTTCCCTTATTGATGTGCACATATTTCATAAAGAGACATGAACTCACACAGAATGCATCAGTACACTCCGATTCAGCTGGAGAATGACATCCAAATCATTTAGCTTGAAACAAATCTAGAGACTTTTGTTTCCCTTAATGTGTCCATTACTTACTGTATGCAGGTTACATTTCACAACATTTATACAACACTGTCACAGTATGGACTGGGTCTGGAAGACCTTCAGATTGCATTTATGTTGCACACAGACTTTATCTGCATCCTGCATCATGCATTTTTTGAGAACTTGATTTTGAACGTGAATAACTGAAAAGTGATGTTATGCAGAATTCACTGGTGTTCAGTACAGTTCAAGTATTGAAAATTTAAAAAACGGCTCATTTCATGTAACAAGCATCTCTGCATTCAACTGAACGTTTCAAATTCAGAGCGAGGAAGCAAATCTTGATGCAAGATGATGATGATTAGTGATTCTGAAGAAAACCGAAATACATTTAAAAACAATTCAATTCCTGCTGAAATAGTTTTTTTTAGCTAATAAGAGCTGTTAAAAGCAATATGATAAATGCATAGCTTTAATAAAAAAAATAAGGCGTTTTGTGCCTTCGAGTGAGTTTTTGTAATGAAACTCATGGGTACTTCATTAGTATTGTTTGTATGACTTCATTCCTGTGAGAAGCACTCAAGGAACCAACCGTCCCCAACACACAGAGCTCCTCTTCCATCAGGTAAACGCAGACGTGTGCGGTTCATTTAAGGCACAGTGTGCTACATGAAGAACTGGCCGAACAGATTGGCCACGCCGAGGAGGACGAGGAAGCCGTGGAAGACGGCGGAGGGCCAGCGTAACTCACCTCTGCGGTTCAGTGAGGTCAGGTGGATCAGAGAGGGAAGCACAAACACCAGAGCCAAGCCACATAGGGCCCCCGAATACCTGAGAGGAAACCAACCTTTACAAAGCCTGCTGTTACATCAGCAAGTCACCTTCATTTCTAGATTGTGTCAGAGCAGCAAAAACAGAATCTGAAAACTCAACTATGGAGAATCATTATTGAAGTCTGGCAGAGAGAGAGTTCAGTGCAAATCCTTCACAGCACTGCTGGATACACACTAAGTTCCTGTTTTAGAAAAGGAAGCAGGAAACGGTCTCTTACCTGATGATGGAGCCGATGTTGGGGTAAAACCTGGCCATTAGGACTCCAGCTCCCACAACAAGGATGTTCAGAATAAACACATGAAGGAAACTAGGAATGGAAAGACGAGGCATCAATAATGTCGATGCATTTTACACAGACGAACCTTTGAGATCATTCTTTAAATATACAGGGCAAGTCAGTGTTCTGCGCATACTGTATGATTTACATTTACAAGCACCGTTTCCAACTCCAATGCATATCAATCTGAGAAATGGTTGAGCATAAGCATGGGGTTTTGCAATAAAACAATTTCTGTATAAATGAGGCTGTGGCTTAAATGCAGACTTTTTAAGGAAGAGAAGTGCCATGTACAGTTATTGCCCACAATATGAGCTGATGTTCAGGATTGGGCCATCAAATACAGGAAGACTGATGCGTCAAAGGCTTTAGGGACAATGTCGAAGTCTACACGTAATTTGAATACATTTTAAATATTTCACATATAAGTATTTTTTTTAATTTTTTTTTTATTAAGAGTGCAAAACATACAACATACGGTGAACACAAAACACAAAAACAGCAATGATAATAACAGCAATGCAAATAAACAGTGATGACCATCTGACAATAATAGTAGTAGTATTCAAGTAGTACTAGCATGCATAATAATAATAATAATAATAATAATATAATAACAATCGTAATAATAATAATGTAATAATGACACATACCCAACACATACCACACCTATTCTAGCTTCTGTGTCAATGTTTTGTTTTTTGTTTTTTTTCCTTTCCAATTCACGGTAAGATTACTATATGTATATGTATGTATGCCTAAGCTGATGTGGTGCATTAAAAGAAGCGTGTGGTGCATTAAAATCAGGATGCGGTGCATTAAAAACATGTGTGGTATATGTTGGGTGCAGATTTGATTTAGTTATATTTATATATTTTAGGTATATATATTTAGTGTTATGATCTTCATTAAACCATTACCGTCCTTATATAAAATATCATCCCATCAACATCATCTTATTACTGCTCAATGTTTCTATGATAAATATAAGTAGTTTGAAGGGTTAACGCGCTCAATATAAAGAGGAATAGTGTACAGTGTCAGACTGAATCTCAAACAAGCCTTTCATCAACGCACTTGAGCATTTTAAATGCCACATGATGTTACAAATAACTATGAAAAAGCACCTTCTAAAAGGACAAGGCCACTTATTCTTAAATTAATAATATCATTTTCCTCTTATATTCAATACTGTGCAACGCACATCTCAAAAATGTGTTTTAGTGTTTCATTCTTTGAAGGACAAAAACTTGGGTGCGGTGATAATTTTATCTTAGCTATTTGTGAAAATGTGCTTTACTATTCAAAAGCGGTGACGATATTCAGTCTCTTGTATTTAATTTTCAACCAAACAGTCAGTCATTACAGCCAAGAAGACTCAAAGATTCAGTTTCAGTGAATGTGTCAAAGCTATAGAGATGGGAGAAGCAAAACTGCAAAACACTGATTAATTGAACTGATTTGCTCTTATGAAGCGACTGATACTCTACACGCTGAGGACATCTGCTGGTTACAGCCATGTAAATGCAGTGAGAATACAGCCAAAATATTTCTGATGATATGTTTCCTCCTGCTGGAATGAGCTGCCCAACTCAGTCCGAGCATCTTCAAGAATCGGCTAAAAACACATCTCTTCCATCTTTACTTGCCCCGCTAACTCTAGCACTCTCTATTCTAATTCTATTCTTTAAAAACTTGCACTCTATTCATTTACTAACTGCTTGTTTTCTTTAAAGGGGTCATATGATGCGATTTCAAGTTTTCCTTTTCCTTTGGACTGTTACAAGCTCTTGGTGCATAAAGAAGATCTGTAAAGTTGGATTTGTTTTCTTTTTATTTATTAAACAATTAACAAAAAGCAAAAAAAGACTCTAACACTAGCTTGCTGAACTCTTTTTCTATTCTATCCATTTTCTTTTTATTATATAATTGAGCACTTGGTTATCATTGCTCTTTTGTTGGTTTTGATTGCTTCTATTGTCCTCATTTGTAAGTGGCTTTGGATAAAAGCGTCTGCTAAATGATTTAAGGTAAATGTTCCGCAAAACAATTGCAAGTCCTGTCTTTAAAAAGCGTAATCTACAAAGTGTATTCTATAATAGTAAATACCATTAAATATAGCATTTTTGTAAGTGCTACAAACATGTTTGTAACACTTTCACAAGCAGAAAAAAAAATTAAAAAATTGCACTCAAATGATAAAAACTGACTTACAAACATACTTTTAATACTGGTTTAAGGTTTCAACTGAGATAAAGTCCCTCAACATTAAACTGCAGACGTTTGAAAATAACAGTGTGACGTAACTAGGCCTTGTTTGAAAACTCACGTGATTGGGTAAGAAAGCACTGATTTGAAACTAAAGATTTGTAGGCGTTTCAAATGCTGCACGTTCATCACTCATTATCATACACAACTGTTACTCACCCTGGATAATGGTCCCCAAAGAGCTGCCCCATCAGCTGCACGCGCACCAGGTACCCCAGCAGAGGATACACGGAGGTCATCTGGAACAGAAGACAAGCCCTTGCTACAAACACCAGCACATCGCTGCTGGGGAAGTTATCCAGAAAGTTCTGTGATAGAGGACGAGACAATGTCAGTATGAATGAGTGCACCTCAAACAGCTTGCTTTGAAGGGAATGCTCGGTCTTACTGGTTCAATGCACTCTTTAGACAGCGGTGGTGATGGGAAAACAGCAAAGATCAGCACACCCACATAGAGGTACGTTAACCCCACCAGCAGGTACGCCAACGACAGATCCCGCACCTACGGACACAGCATCAGTTCACACTCACTACTGACCTACAGCTGATGCACAACACTACTGGATCAGTCTCAGACATTTACTACACTTCCATTAAATACACATACTTTACGATGATGATTATTATGATAAAATCAATTATAAAAAAAAAAAATTCAGCAAGGATGCATTAAATTGATCAAAAGTGACAGATAAGACTAAAAAAAACATGTCATGAAAATGTCCCTACAAAAATATTAAGCCATAAAACTTGATAATCAGAAATGTTTCTTGAGCAGCAAATCAGCATATTAGAATGATTTCTGAAGATCGTGTGACACTGAAGACTGGAGCAATGATGCTGAAAATTCAGCTGCGCATCACAGGAATAAATCACATTTTAAAATATATTTAAAAGAAAAACTGTTATTTTAAATTGTATTAATATTTCACAACATTTTTGAGCACAAAACTCTTCTTTTAAAACATAGTGAAATGTTGAATGTGCTCAGTGTGTTCTTGAAAGGTTTTGTAAGAATTCACCTAACATAATTCTCACAAAATAAATATTTGTCTTCATATCTTCATGTTGCTACAACAAACAATTCCTATGTTTGCTCAGTGGCTGGACATTGTGCAGTGAAGTGCTATGGCCAAATTACACACACACACCACCCCACACACTCTTACACACACAGACACACCACACACACTCACTCTTACACACACACACACACACACACACACACTCACTCTCACACACACACACACACACACTCTCACATACACCACCCACACACACACTCTCACACACACACACACCAATTACATAGACAGAAAAACGGTCATAGTTTGGCTGACTGTCAGGTTCTTTCTGATCTTCCTGAACACTCACTCTGGACCACAATGACTCATCTCCATTTTCCCTTTATACAAAGCACAGCGCTATGTCTTTTTTTGCAGCACTAGCTGTTTTAGTTTCTCTGTAGCAGAAAAAAAGGAACTTTTCTGCACCCGCTGCAGAAGTGTAATGTATGCAGTATGGAACTAATCCCACAAGGACAGAAATTATGTTTTGAGTCAGTAATAATACACTGATGTGGACAGGTTGAGAACACTCACGTTGTTTTCCTGATGTTTGTTGTTCTTCATAAGCGTGATGATGCAGTTGTGAATGAAAAACGCTAGTGTGAGAACCCCACTCAGCTGAGGAAACAGCGATCTGAACTCTAAATCAGAGACACATTTTTTTTAAATCTGTGGCAAATGGGGTTAAAGTTAAAATAGGTTTTTGAATCTTTTACAACATTTACATTCATCTTTTTTTACTTTTACATTACAACACTTCACCTACACAACGCTACAGAGGGGTTACGATGTGGCTGGACGTTTAGCTTTGTAAAGTTCACTGAAGTTTGTAAGTTATGAGAAAGGAAATAAATAAAGAACAATAACTATGCCTTTAAAATGAGTTTACAGGTGATTTCAAGACATTGCATGATTTAAAAAAAAAACAAAGATTCCTTTACCTGGAACAAAAAACGTTGATGAATCAAACCAGTGGAAGTCCAGGTGAAAGCCCAGGCGAATGGCTTTATATGTGACCAAAAAGATGAGATAAACCACCGACAAGGTGCCTGTGAAAACCAACGAAAGCCTCTTATACAGCAAGATCAAAACACAAGCTGAAAGCAGAAATACTACCACTCTAGCTGGCAAAATAAAGGCCATACCGAGGAAGGTGAACCTGGCGAAGAAGGACGCAGAGCGGAAATTGAGCAGCGGCAGCAGCAGAACAATGAGGTAAAACGGGATGGTGTTGGTTTTACTCCACCAGCGATCAAACACCGGTCCTGTGCTGTTCTCTCCCGCATAGTATTGGAGAGTGCTGCTGTCTCCGTCTGGATCCAAATTTGGATATGGACATATCACTAGTGAAAGAGACCAGAGAGAAACACGCTATCATACTGAACTGAATTGAAGTAATGAACACTTTAAATGGTCAAGCACATGAAATGCAGCTTCAACAGCTAAAATAAATCTATTGATTCCAATAATGGACCAGTATTATAAACTGACATTTTAGGCAAATCAGTTCAAAAGTTATAGAGTATATATTTATTAACCAAATTTAACTGATTTTTTTTTTCTTACACTTGAAGTTTTATTTCAATAAGCAGAAGCATTACCAAGATACAGACTGACGCTTACCAAGTTTCATTCAAACAAAATGCAGCAATTTGTGAAAAAAATTCAAGCCACTGGGTCTCATTGGACTCTGAACGGTTCTAAGAATCCACAGAGACCAGGCTCATGACTTCAGAGCAATTAGTGTTCATTTTTTTTTAAATCTGTGGCAAATGGGGTTAAAGTTAAAATAGGTTTTTGAATCCTTTACAACATTTACATTCATCTTTTTTTACTTTTACATTACAACACTTCACCTACACAACGCTACAGAGGGGTTACGATGTGGCTGGACGTTTAGCTTTGTAAAGTTCACTGAAGTTTGTAAGTTATGAGAAAGGAAATAAATAAAGAACAATAACTATGCCTTTAAAATGAGTTTACAGGTGATTTCAAGACATTGCATGATTTAAAAAAAAAACAAAGATTCCTTTACCTGGAACAAAAAACGTTGATGAATCAAACCAGTGGAAGTCCAGGTGAAAGCCCAGGCGAATGGCTTTATATGTGACCAAAAAGATGAGATAAACCACCGACAAGGTGCCTGTGAAAACCAACGAAAGCCTCTTATACAGCAAGATCAAAACACAAGCTGAAAGCAGAAATACTACCACTCTAGCTGGCAAAATAAAGGCCATACCGAGGAAGGTGAACCTGGCGAAGAAGGACGCGGAGCGGAAATTGAGCAGCGGCAGCAGCAGAACAATGAGGTAAAACGGGATGGTGTTGGTTTTACTCCACCAGCGATCAAACACCGGTCCTGTGCTGTTCTCTCCCGCATAGTATTGGAGAGTGCTGCTGTCTCCGTCTGGATCCAAATTTGGATATGGACATATCACTAGTGAAAGAGACCAGAGAGAAACACGCTATCATACTGAACTGAATTGAAGTAATGAACACTTTAAATGGTCAAGCACATGAAATGCAGCTTCAACAGCTAAAATAAATCTATTGATTCCAATAATGGACCAGTATTATAAACTGACATTTTAGGCAAATCAGTTCAAAAGTTATAGAGTATATATTTATTAACCAAATTTAACTGATTTTTTTTTTCTTACACTTGAAGTTTTATTTCAATAAGCAGAAGCATTACCAAGATACAGACTGACGCTTACCAAGTTTCATTCAAACAAAATGCAGCAATTTGTGAAAAAAATTCAAGCCACTGGGTCTCATTGGACTCTGAACGGTTCTAAGAATCCACAGAGACCAGGCTCATGACTTCAGAGCAATTAGTGTTAATAATAAGATTAGATCTTTTTCAGTCACATTCAGCTTCAATTAGCAGCAAGTTTCTGCCTGCATTACCGTCAGTGGGCTGTAGCCAGTTTTCACAAGATAATTAAACTAACTTTGCTGAACTTGACAACAAGCATCAGTATTTCAGACAGTATATTTACACACTACCCTACCATATGTGTAATCTTCCATTGTAACATGAAACATTATGTAAGCGAGGGGATTGTCAGCGTTGCCCGTGTCACTACAGTCATGAGATAAATCAAAGGATAAAGGAGAATCTGCCCATGGCTGTTCACGTTGCTGCTGGAGAAAACTCAAATATGAATATGAATGAATGAATGAATGAATGAATGAATGAATATATATATTCCTAAGTGACCTAAGTGAGAATAAAAAAAGTTTAAAATAGGCGAGCAGTTTTCATTTGAGAATCATGCTAGGCTAAATTTCTAAAAATGTATTATATACCACTACTATATTATAGATAGAGATTGTCAGCGTTGCCCGTGTCACTACAGTCATGAGATAAATCAAAGGATAAAGGAGAATCTGCCCATGGCTGTTCACATTGCTGCTGGAGAAAACTCAAATATGAATATGAATGAATGAATGAATGAATGAATGAATATATATATTCCTAAGTGACCTAAGTGAGAATAAAAAAAGTTTAAAATAGGCGAGCAGTTTTCATTTGAGAATCATGCTAGGCTAAATTTCTAAAAATGTATTATATACCACTACTATATTATAGAAGTAATCACAGTAAACCTGTACTGTATTACTGTATTTTATACTTAAATGTCTTAGCTACTGTAGAAGCACTGTGTGGTGGAGGAGCAGACGCCACAGGACTGAAATTAACCATTTCTCCTGTGTTTTTCTCCTTCTCTATCTTACTTTCAGAACAAGAACCACCTGTAATGAGACGGCACCCTCACAATGAGTCTCTTCACTGGGTTTGGCAAGTCTTTCCCTGCTCTTTGTGAAAAAGTGCCAGTTCCCCAAGTATGATTCCTTCACATTTTGTTGGTGTAATCTATAGATTGCTCCTGCAGACTATATCCAGCCTCTTATGAAGACTTCAGATGAAGCGGACTCTGAATAAACATACAAAACTGCTCAATTTTCCTTGCATTGCTTGTAATCAACATGATCACATCATGTAACCACTGCTTTAATTTGTTCATTGTTTCTGTATACATGACGTTACTTAACTGCATGATTTGTACAGCCTAATTTTAGAACATTTCTGCCATATGAACATTACATTGACACAGTTACACCTGTTAACAGAACTCTTATTTGTAATGTAGAAACATTCATTTTCTGTAAAGCATACATTCACACTCCTTTGTGTGAGCGACTGGAGCACTCCCATGCAGCACAGCAAACTATAGTGGAGACTGTTCAAGGACAACATGCTTTATAGTATGTAAATGAATTACTTTATAGTCTACTAATTACCAAAAATCACAGTTCTGTCTATCTAACTCAAGTTGCTCTGGTACTCTCCAGCCACGGTAGCCACTGCAAATTAACGCATATACGCCACTTTTCGTGACGGTTCAACTTTTCATTTTGAACTGGAAAAACGAACTGGCTCCAAAAAGTGAAAAAATAACCACTTTTCCCTTAATAATAGACATGATGAGTGCTATTGTTGTTTTCACCGATATGCTACCTGTATATGTTAACATCTCAAAAAATGTGTTTTAGGGTTTCATGACACTTTAAGATGATAAAAACAGTTATTTTTGAATAATCGAATTTGGGCTCAAAATATAAATGTATTAATTTAACAACCTCAACTTGATCTGATACGTGATGACTGTATTAGGAAGTACAGTAAGTGCATGAAAGCAGTGCTAACATTATTACTTTTTAATTTGTACACTCTTCACTCATAATGTTTTATGAGAGTATAACCTCATCTGATTTTATTGCTCTTTAACACAATATGTTGTTTGTATGCTGTTCTTGCATTTCTTTAATAAAAATCTGGCTCAACTCTGAAGTATTATGCATACACATACAGCATGTCTTCCATTTAAATCATGACATATCATCATACCCGACTAAACTGTGGTTGATATGTTGTGATGAAACATCTGTACATCAGTAAATCACATATGGACATTGCCATTCATGCAGGTTACAGCAGAAGTTATTTTATACTACTATTTGAAGCTTCTGCTTTTCTAACGGGGAAGTGTGAAAAAGGCCTGTAATAATAATGGATCTCTGTGTCCACTCACCTCTATCTGTTCCATTCGTGCCAAAAGCATCTGATGTGCTGACATTGTGAACATAGTCTGTGGATGTGAAATATACAAGCAGTCATACAGATCTACCCAAAAAACATCAACAGTCCATCGGTTAACGGACAGCAGAACAAATGAGGAATGGTGAGGAGAACAAACACTCACTGTAAATGAATTTTCCTGTGTTGAACAGGAAGTTGGACATGAGGACCCAGTAGACCACCATCGCACCGATCAGTGACACCAGTGAGAAAACAAGACTCGACCACTTTCCGAATCCACCAAAGTAATATTTACACACATCAGGAAACTCCCAGTCTGAGGTGTCTACATGCGCTGCAAAGACAGAGCTGCGCATTACACAGGATTTACACGAAACACCTGCTGCTTTGGTGCAATAGTGGAAATATCATAGAAGGCAGGGTTACAGAAATCAACATCCCATTAAGTTTCTCCATAGAGAAATAATAATGTAGGAACATATGAAAACAGATCTAGCAGCAACTCCTGAGATTGTTAAATGATGGCTTCACAAACAAAGAGACAAAAAAAGTTCTTATGTTTAAGCAAGACCAGCTTATGTGAAAATGAACTGTATTAATCAGGATCTGAACTCTTGCGTATCAAACAAACTTTCTGGATTATCCTGTCTGTCACATAAAGAAGTACCAGAACTGTCATTAGGTGCATAAAGCCCCTCGTTGCACATTAAACTGAGAATGGTATAAAGATCTTATTAACCAAATAATGGATGTTTTTGTCTAAAAGCTATATTGAGTCACTGTATCTCTCATAACTTGAGCCTTGTGTATTGGGGCTGCAAAAAAAATGTGAAAGACTGGCTGTTTATTTGAGAGCAGTCATGTGGTTGGCTTACGTATGGACTTTGTGGACTTTAATACTCTGTAGCAGCAGTAGAGCGTCAGCAAGCCCATAAGAACAATAATGATGATGCCTAGAGTGAAGCCAGCCTAGAAACAGGCCAAAAAATTATTTATCTTCTTAACAGCCTGCAGTGAGGAAAGGAAACACACAAGAAAAACTTAAACTTACTTGTTTTATTCCCCAAGGCATACTTAATATAGAAGTTCCCATCATGGTGTTCCATATGGCGAAGCTGCGCGCACACACACACACACACACACACACTCACACGCGCACACGCACACACATACACACGCGCGCACACACACACACACACACACACACACACGCACTTAAATCAAAAGGTGTTTCAACAACTGCTTGTACATTTCTGGAAATATGACCATGTAAATCTGCTCTGCCTGTCTTAACTCCACTAAAACTAATTGAAAAAAATAACGCTCTCTCCATTTAACATGCTTGCAAGTAACTGTGCTGTTTAAGGCAATTATTGTTTGGTTTTCTGATTAACTGTTAATTGCCTTAACATTCTAGCTCTGTATCTTTTCACACTCTAAAGCACTGTAATTCACAGGCTTAAACTTGCTCTGAGGCAGAGGTCTTCATAAAGAAATGCATTAAAAGCCTTTTCGAGGGTGGTCTTACATTGTGACAATGCTGGGGTTTTTGGCTGTACTGTCGCCCCCCTGCACTTTGAACGCTGTTCCCAGTGGACTGTAGACATAGATGTCCTCAGGAGAAGGAATCACATGATCTGGAGGTACCTGATGAAGATAAGGCACACAAACAAATGCATTACATCAGTGCCTTTCATGTTATACAGGACAAGATTGCAACTATCAAACAAATTATGCATTGTCCTGAAATACTGGTGGAAGCAGAATTTGTGGTTGAAGACTGTGTTAATCTGTATTTAGAGATGCATCCTCCACAAACCAAACCAGGCAAAACAAAAAAAAAGGAAATCAGAGCTACGGGCTAATTCAATTATACACAGACACAAAACAACAGACCGCTCACAAATATCTGTGAAATAAGGCAGCATGAAGAGGTTTCACCCACAAAACGCCCTCAAAGAGCAAGATGATCTCACAATCATGAAATTTTGGCTTGAGACTAATTGGAATATAAATATGTTCACTGTTTAAGTCAGTGTAAGTTTCTTCACTCTCGTGTCATTCCAAAGCTGTATTTTGTTTTACAGAAAAAGGACATTTCTACAAGCTTTGAAAGACAAGTGTGAGTAAATTTTGGGGTGAACTATTGCTTTAAGGCTTTGTAAACATACACTGGACAGGTGTAGAATGAATGTTATGAATGAATGAATCATTTTTAATATGATTCACAATTCTTCATTTTCATGTGTCATTTTAAGGTCGGACTAAAACAAAAAGCCTTAACTTCACACAAAGGAAGACCATTGAGTTAGTGTTGAGTATTTGACAAAAGAAATATATTTTCCATTCTAAATGTGCGGCCACATTTACTGTTGCTCTGCTCATTTTTTCAATAGGAATTCATGCATCTGTGAATTTCATGCGGGGGGAGATTTCACCACGCAGACTTCTCAATGGGTTCAAGTTGGTTGCATGGATTTGCTGTGTTGACCAACAAAAAGCTGCTTGGTCTGAAAGTGTCAGCTGTAATTCATCACGGTTTTACTTGTTACTTAGAAGAAAAAAAACAATGTATCATTATAAAACGGAGATTTCCGGTCCTTGATTCTGATTGGCATATGGAATAACCGGTTTATAAAAGCAATAAGCCCTGTGAAACCGTGGTTTACAGTGAATTTATAACAGCTAAGGGGCATGTTATAAATTCACTGTAAACCACGGCTTCTTGCTTTATTTTTCCCCACAAAGTTTCTGCCATAAAATTTAGCTAATGTGATCGCACTTTAACATCTGTATAAACAGTATTAAATATTAATAGCTTATCTCTGTGGCATTAACTTGATAACATGTGTAACATGTAATGGACAAAAATATTTGCCATTGTGCAAATTATAAAAAGTGAAAAGCCTATGCATTCTCAAACACTGGAATAAAACAAATGTGCATTTTACGGCATTTGCATATTCACTTAGAATTCTCAGATTTTTCGGAAAATACGCGATTTGAATTTGACATGCACGGTGACTGTAGTTATCGCAAATAATCACAAGAAGCCTACTAAACCACCTATAGATATTTTGATGTTTGTTCGTCCAGACAGAGATTTAAAACTTTTAGTTATGTTTGTAGTGAAATGTGAAGAAGAGAGCGGGCACACCAGCAGTCGGTCTGAAGAGGCTGTCAGTCGGCCGTAGTAATGAACTCTGCTGCTCAGAGCCGCAGCTTCAGCAGACACCCGCTCCTGAACATCTCCCACTATGTTTCTGGGCTCCACATGAAACGGCCTGAAAGACAAAGCAAACAAGAACTATTACTGTATATATGCCCCACACCTGAAACAGCTAATTAAGATCTTCAGGAACACTTGATACAGGTCTGGACATGACCTCATGCAGGGAGCTCGATCTCCAGAAACAGGACAGGACACCTCTGCATTAATGCATTTTCTAATATTGTGCACATGGAGGTAATGTGTGACCCTGGACCACAAAACCATGAAATTGAGATTTATACATCCTCTGAAAGCTGAATAAATAAGTTTTCCATTGATGTATGGTTTGTTAGGATAGGACAATATTTGGCTGAGATACAACTATTTGAAAATCTGGAAATGCTTCTGAACAGCACTAGGAGGTTTTTGTTTTGAAGCACATTTCACATAGCACTACATCTTAGACAGTATTTGTGAAATACCAGACTGCGTTAATTCAATCTGGCCAGTGACACTAATTAGTCCTGGAAGGAAACCAGTTGACAAGCAGCTTTCTGAGTCGAGTAAACGTTAGGGGAGAAAGCCTTGATGTCTGGACTCAGACAGCTAGAAACATTGTCCCAGCTCCCGTGATGAGGTGGGTTCAGAAAATGTTGGTTTTGCTGCACACTTCATACAATAAATATTTGTTGAGTATATTTAATCAATTTATGTTTTGCCCCAAAAAAGAATGCATAGCTGAAACACTTCAAAAGATGAAAACATTCTATGTGTCTTTACCATTCCTGACTATATCTGACATTTCACCCAAAATATTGTTAATAAGACATTAAACTAAAGCCAGCAGAAAAACAGTACCTTCTTTGCTTGGGGTCCAGTGAATCTGTGTAATACTCCCCAGCTCGCACTGATCCTAGTAACGGTTTACTGTCCTCATCCATGATAAACCCTCATCACCTGTAAAGATGGACAAACACAGAAGAACACCAACCCAGATCTGAGACTGTTCAGCGAGAAAGATGATATCAACACACAAACAGCAAAACAACTTTTTTGACAGGGATGATGAAACTTATATGCACATTTTTCCTGTGGAAAAAAAATATGTATTTGTAGTAACACTTTAAACCCTGCAGATGGATAAGACATGATGAGACATGTCACACAGACTCTAAAGCGTCACAAACCAACAGCACAGAGATGCCTGTCCTGAGAGTAATGTGGGAACACTTACACCCCAGATCAACAACTGATACATGCATTATTTATTTATTGATCTGTGTTATGGATTATGGAAAATAAATTATTAAACATACATGCACACACACAGAGATTGCATTGAGGACAATGAATGCCCTCACAAAGATAGATGTACAAGAATGTGTGTGTGTGTGTGTGCGCTTCATATCAACTGAATTAGGGCAGCAAAACGATTAATTGCAATTAATTGCATTCAAAATAAGTTTGTTTACATACTATATATGTGTGTGTACTGTGTATATTTATTATGTATATATAAATACACACACACACGTATATTAAGGAAACATGTTAGATTTATACATAAAATATTTATATATAATATAAATTTTATACAAGTATATATATATTTTTTTATATACAAGTATATTATATATATACTCATACAAATATTTAAAAATATATATTATATATATATATATATATAT